TGGGGGAGGCTAACCTCGGCGCCCTCTGGTCTGAGGATACGGGAGCCGGCCTCCCAGCTTGGGGAGGATTTGGACGGGGCGGGTAGTGGGGAGGTGCTTTGCCTCTACCGGCACTCACTGGGGCAGGGCCAGCTGAACGCCCTGGCAGAGAAGGGGTCTCTGGGCGGGCTAGCCCCTCCTCTCGTTCCCTCCAGGGGATGTTATGTAAGGGGGGAGGGGAGAGGAATAGGGGGCGGCGGTGCGGGGGCCTTATGCAACCCAAAGGTTAGAGTTTCACCGCGGTTGGTGGGGGGAGCGGGCAAGAGGAGGGCCTGGAAACTCTAACCCCCCCTCCCCAGCCTAACTGGCCGTCTTGGGCCGAGAGAAGGTCACCTCTGCACCTCCCCCCAGCCTGTCCAGTTGTGGGGCCCCTAGCCCAGGCCTGGCCCTGACCGCCTGGGAAGCCGGCTGGCTGGGTGGGGCGCCTGGGTTAGTCATCACTGGGCTCCCTCTCTCCCCACCTCTCGGCCAACTCTTGGCCCCTCCCAGTGGCCTCTGGCTAGGCTATCTCCCCCACCTCCCTCTGGCCCTAGTTCCAGTCTCCAACTCATTTGGCCTGTCATCCTGGCTGTTAGACTGACTAGGAGCTGTCAGGGTGCCAAAGGGTTGATGGAGCAGCTGGTCAGAGGGTCAGTGCCCTGGGCCCACCCCACCCTGCAGCCAAGGGCACCTGCTTGGCACAGACTCTTAGCAGCCACTGAGACCTATGGGCTGAACAGAGCCGGTTCAGACAGAGGGGAGTGGGAAGAAGTTGGACTGGTCACCTGGGGGAAGGAAGATACCGCAAAGTTTATGCCTCCCAAGAGGGTTTTGTAATTTGAAAACCTCCCACCCCCACCCTAATCTTTCTAACCCTCTGAGTGTAGAAATCTCAAGGCAAGACCACCTTGGCCCCTCGCACTGGCGTGGGCCATGCCCTTGGACTGAGTATCAGCACAGACCCGCCCTCCCCAGCTCAGAGCCCTCAAGCCTGCCACACCCCCAGCCCCCTCCCTGGGCCATGCTGCAGGGCCCGGCTTTTCCTGCTGATTCATGCGTTGGAACTGTGGGGGCGGGGCTTGGAACTTGGAACAAAGTTCAGACATGGAGGGGCCGGCAGACAGCCTGGAATTCATACCAGATGTACCCGGAATGTGCAAGCGGAATGCCTGGCATTTGAGACTCTTGGGGAAGCTGCCCAACCACCCTGCCCGTAGCTCCCTCCCCTCCAGCCTTGGGTCCCCTGTCCTCTCCTCACAGTCCCTGGAGCCTCTGCTGACCTTCCAAATTCTAGACCTCTTCCCTTCCTCACTCTTCCCCAGATGTAGGCCCCCAAAACTCTTCTTCCAGCTGAACTCCCTGGGAATAAGTCTCTTGGGCTGATCACTGAACTCATATATCTGGACCTGAGGTACAACTTCTCACCTAGTACCTAGGTGACTGGTGGGGTGTGTCCAGGGTCCCACGTCCTGCCCTGTCTGAATGCTGAGGAGGCTGAGGCCCCTCTGTGGGTAGCTGGGGGAAGAAGGGGGAGTGCAGGCCTGGGTTTCTACAGCCTTCAGTTCTGAAAGAGAAGCAAGGAAGTATGTTTAGAGCTGCCTCTTGCTTCTCACTGAAGTTAACAGCTCTTGCAGGCTCAGGTTAGAGCCAAGAACCCTTCATTAGAAGAAGGTGGAGTATCAGCTGGGGCTGGACTTTGATGGCCGGTGGGACAGTATCCCTGTGACATGGCCCTGCTCAGATCTGTCCCATATTTCTTCCCTTTCCCTTTAGGAGCCTGTACCTCCCACATCCTCACCTGGCTGAGCCGCAGTAGTTCTTCAGTGGCAAGCTTTATGTCCTGACCCAGCTAAAGCTGCCAGTTGAAGAACTGTTGCCCTCTGCCCCTGGCTTCGAGGAGGAGGAAGAGGAGAAGGAGCTGCTTTCCCCCTCATCTGGAAGGTGACAGAACAGGGGCTGGGAAGGTCTGAACAGCGGAAGTGATGATACCTTTTGGTAAAGGGAACCCTGTTCACTTGGAGAGCCTTCACCCAGATTGGCCCAGCAAGAGAGAACAATTTTAGGTTAGAGATCTTGGCTGAATTGGAGAATAGATGGCTCTGACTACCCGAGGCTAGTTGGTCTTTGTGTGACAATGGGAAGAAGTGGAGCAAAGAAAACTCTGGCTACCCCTTTACCCAGATGTCCTCCTTCTTTATCCCCAGTTCTTTCCTACTGGCCTTTCCAAGTGAGGACCAAAAGTAAGTTTCCTCTTCAGGGAAAAGGTCATACTGAAACTCCCATCTAAGTATCCATCCCCCTGCTCTTACTGTCCCTGTATTTCCTGAGACTGGCCCAGACTCTGGATTCGGGCATATTCACTTGTATGTGGGACCCTAGACCTCCTGTCTCAGATTCTCCACCTGTGAGATGGGGAATCATGCAGTAGAGTATGCATGAGGGAATCAGAAGCCTACTTGTGCAGACACAGAGCCTGGGCTCTCCTCCCCCTATAGGTGGGAACAAAACAGCTTTTCACATAAGCTATTGCCCCTCCTCCATGCCTGACAGTAACCCCAGGAGCTGTTGTGGGGTGGGGTGGAGGGAGGGGTAGGGTTAGATCAATGCAAGGAGCTGGTAGGAGTCAGTCTCTGCATTGACTTTCCACCATGCAAAGGTGGCCCCAGGCTTCCCCTGCCACCCACAGCAGGACTACAGCCCCTGATGGGGTTCCAGCTGCTGCTGTTTGTTCCCTTCCTTTATTTTCCAGGATAGTGTGTGAGACTCAGCTCAGGCCTGTACAGGCAGGAAATTCTCCCCTCCTGCATCCAGGAGAGAGAGGTTGTAGGATGTGACCCCCTCTGGGGCATCAGGCAGTGTGAACCTGCCACCCCCAGCTCCTGATCCAGTCTCACTCTTGGGCTCAGGTTCCCTGCCTGAAGGTGGCCAAGTTCAGGGGCTGCAGGAAGCTGTTTGTTCTATATTGGGGCAGGAGGTGTGTAGGGAGCTGGGTGCTATTCTCCATTTATGACAAACAGATTTAGAGGAAAGAAGATCATTGAACCCACCCTTCTGCAGCCTAGGCTGGATGTATATGGGGGTGGGTAGACTGAGTCCACTCACAGGCTGCAACAAAGATTGCTCTGTCCCTGGACGTTGCTTCCGTCCTTTCTTCCCCTCCTTGCTTTACTGGCCACAGTGTCTCCCTCCTGCCCTGGGTATGTAGCTCTGCCATCCTCACCCATCATGGAGCAGAGATGAGGAAGAGCAGCCTGGGAACACAGAGACAGGCAGAAGACCAGTGAAGGACCAGGCTTGGAGAGCACAGGGCCCTGTCTGGGCACCCACAGAGGGGGCCTGTAACGGCCAGAAGGACCGCAGGAGGAGGGAGGACAGCCAGGCTCCATCAAGGACAAGCTTCCAGCCATTTCCTTCATTCCCCGTTTCTCTCCAGTCTTGCCGCCTCCGTCAGAGATGTAAGACCATATGAAAGTGTCCTGTGGCTTCATCCTCCCTTTTCTACCTCTTCTCTACCCTGTAATTTTTATATAAGCAGCCTCAAGGAGCAAGAGCCAGCTGTGAAAGGACATACACAGGAAATTCATAAAAGAAATTTAAACGGATAGAACCATGAAAAAAAGTGTGCTTCATTAGTAATTAAAGAATGGCAAATATAGCTGGAAGCATTTTTCCCTTAGCAAACTATAACATAAAAAATAAGATCCAGTAGTGGCAAAGGAGTACTAAAATAACACTCCCATACATTGCATATGGGGGTACAAATTGGTGCAGCCTTCCTGGATGTCGGTTTGGTAATATGTATCAAACACTCTAAAAGTTTCCATGGCCTTTGACCTAGTAATTCTACATTTGAGAATTTATCCTAAGAAAATAATTAAAGATTTAGTTATAAGGTGTTCATCCCAGCATTGCAATAGAGAAAAATGTGAAGCAACTGTCTGACTGGGAATTCATTTCTTTCCTGCTGTAATGAAAATTTGCAATAGGGGATTGCCTAAGTAAATTATTGTATATCCGTCCAGATGGTGGAGTACTGCGCAGCCATTAAAAGTTATGTAGAAAAACATTTGACTGGAAAGAAAAATACTTTTTGAATATTAAAAAGGTTATAAAAATAGTGTATATTATGTGATCTCAATTTTGTTTTTTAAGATATGAGTGTATACTTCTATACGTAAAACAGATAAAAAAGACTGAGGACATACCCCAAAATGTTAATAGTAGTGGTTATCTTTGGATGGTGAAATAAAGTAATTGTAATTTTCCTCTTTGGTTTTTCTGTAATTTCCAGATTTTCTACATTACCACAATTCTACATTACTACATTTCTATAATATGTGAATGGCTTTCATATAATAAATAAAATTTAAAAGAATCAGTGTAATTTTTTAAAAAAAGTTTGGAGAGGTGAGTGTGGAAGAATGAAGGGATGCCTCTAGCCCCTGGAACTGAGTGGGGTTCTGGTGGAGAAAGGGGGTTGTGAGACTGGGGGAGCAACTATTGATTTATGAAATTCGTTCTTTGGGAGTAGCTGGAATCCACCCTCTCAGCATACAGGAAACAGCTCTCTGAATTGCTGGCTGTCAGCCAGCTAAAGAGATGTGGAGTAGTGTAAGACGGAAGGGAAACGGTAAAAACCTGTCACTCTGCAGGGGATGGGGGATGGGGATGGGGGAAGATTTTCCTCCCCAGGCTGAAAGGTTCTAGAATCCTAACAGTCCTGCTGAAAGCAGGATGGGTCTTTGTTTTTCTCTTTGATTCTGCCCCAACCTTGAGGTGACCCTGTGTGACCTCTCCTTGCCGGCCCAGATCGGCACAGATATTCTAGCCACCCAATAGGTACCAAGCCCTGGGGGAAGGGTGCTCTTCAAGACTGTAGTGTTGAGTGGTTCCCTTTTGCCTCGCCTTCCTAATAATAAGGCTTCTCTGGAGGGCCCCAAAAAAGGTTGGGGGAGGAGTCCCCAGAGAGTCGCTTCTCCACAATGGGAGCTGTTGTTCCGTTTGAGGGGTACTATGTAAGGGGGCAGGACTCCTGGAATTATAGGGTTGCTGGGATGTGTTAAAGGTCTGGAAGCCCCGGGAGGTAGAAGGGGTGGCTCCAAGGAAGTGAGGTGGAGGGGTGCGGGGCAGTACGGCGAGGTTTAAGCAAGTGGGAGGGGGTTTGCGCTGGCCTCTACCTTCAGGGCTATGAGGGTGGGGTGGGAGGGATGACCAGTAGGTGAGAGGTTAGAGTAGGGGAAGGGTGAAAGTTAGTGGGGCGGGACCTCCGGGAGTGTCAGGTGAGATTAGCGACCTATTTCCGGAGCTCCGAGGGGTTTGGGACACAGGGAGTTGGGGAAAACCCCTATCGACATCCCGGAAGTCCCCTGAGCTCCGTTGCACGGCTTGGTCCCCGGGAGCCCCAACCCGCCATCTCCCGCTAGGGCGGGACGCGATCGGTTGCCGTGGCTCCGGGGGCGGTGGCCCCAAGGCTGCTCCAATCGCCGTCCAGCCCTGGGATGGGGGCGTGGACGAGCCCTGGAAAAGTTACAGCCGATTCCAAAGGCGGGGCGGCGGGGGAGCCCAGGGACCCAGCCCTGCCTAGGAAGCCAGTTCACAGTCCCCGCAGGGGGCGTTGGATGCGTCCTGGCCCACAGCGCAGGGGCCCGAAGGACTGATCCGGACCTAGCCCGCCTGCCAGGCCCTGGCGCCCTCGGGGCTCCTTGTGACCGGCGCCTCCTTCGCCGCCTTGCGGGGGCGGCACTGGGGACTGCAGCTGCTGCCCACGCCGAGATCTGCTGCTCAGGACTGTTGGAAGTGGCGGAACCTCTGTGTCTCCCTGGTGCACAGCCTGCTCACTGGGGCCAGGGAGCTGCTCGGGTGCAGGGCTTAGAGGATCGGGAGGCACCGGGGTGAGGGTTGAGGGGGTGGAAGGCTGAGATTAGAAGACCCGGCAGGCACCTTTAGAATTGATGCAGACCTTGGGAGTCTGAGACAGGTGAAAGTGTGGACCGATGGGTGGGCGTGCACAGCAGGAGAACAGGATCCGAGTCTGCACTACGCTGACAATGGCCCCCCATCTCCTCCAGGCTGTTGCTGTACCCTCAGATGGCCACCGACCGGATTCATGCCACCCACCCCCGGCCCGGGTGGTGATATCTGTGGGTGAGTCTCCAGGGAAGGCTGGGCCAGTTTGGCAGGGGCAACATCCCAACGGTAATTCCAGGCCCCCTTCCGCCTCCCCTGAAGGGGTTAAATGTTCCTGGCAGTTTTACTGAGGGAAACTAAGGAATTGGAAAAAGGAGGGGATGGGGATTCCTATCCAGGCTATACACCAGCTCGGGGGAAGCCTAATGCCCACTCCCCCCCCCCCCCCTTTCTCACAGGTTATTTCCTGGCCTATGGAGCTGACATGCTGTGGAACCAGACCTTGGGCCAGGCCTGGTACCTTCTCTGTCACCATTTGGTGTTGAGACTCGGGGAGAGAGACAAGACAGAAGGGAGGCGTCCCCAGCTCGGGGTCCCCAATCTCTCTTCAGCTTTCTGTCTTATGACTTCCCAGAGTCTCTGATCACTGCTGGTGCTTTATCCTCCCAACCTTGAGCTGAACTAGGAGGAGGGGTTTGACCGTTGGCCACTGCTGGGAGTCTGAGCACTGCCTAAGGAACTTGGTGTCCACTCAATTGCAGAAATGTTGAATATGGAGCTTTTCTGAGAAGGGGGAGCCCCAGTGTAGGAAGTGAGGATGGGGCATGAAAGCCCAGAAATGGAAGTTGAGGGGTACAGTGCAGATGCTGCAGACCAAGGAGAGACAGCCTCTGGGCCAGGGCTGCTTCCATCCTATGGAAGGGTTTTAAGGCCATTCAGGCCCCCAACATAAGGGTAAGCATAGAGATCAGGTGTTTGGGAGGGGTGCCACAAAATGTTTGGGAGTCTCTCTCTTAAGGACTAGGATATTGGGACATGATGGGTGGCAGGTCATGGAAGGTCCTCTGACCTCTGACCCTGGCTCCCCAGGTCGTGAGCTGCCTCAGCACCACCAGTCTCTCTGGCCACTACGTAGGCTTCTCCGTGATGTCTCTGCTTCTAGAGCTGAACTCTGCCTGCCAGCACCTATGGAAGTTGCTGCTGCTTTCTCACCAGGCCCCATCCCTGGCCTTTAGCATGGCCAACTGTGCCACCCATACCCTCTTCTGCCTGGTGCCGTTGGGGTGGATGAGTCTGTGGCTGAAGCAGATACCAACTGCTCTGGTCTTCTTTGGTGGAACTGGGCTGGTCACTTTGGGTGCCATGATCATCACAGTGGGTATCTGCATTTTGGTCAATAATGTCCTTCAGTCTCACCCCCATCCACCCATCCGTGGGTACAAGGAAACCAGGGGCACCAGGACATGTTGTGATGGTGAGCCTGTCATCAAAGATGATTCCACTCTCAGCCTGAAAGACTAGAGAGAAGCCTCAGGCTCCTCTTCTGCCAGTCCTGGGAGAGGTAGGACCAGGACAAGGAGGCGTGGTCTCCAGTGCACAGTCCCCCACTGGGGTAAGGACTTGGCTGGATTTTCAGTATCTCACTTCCTCTTCCAGCTAACTCACACCCCTCCCCCATTCCTAGGGTCTAAGAAGAAATGCTGATGTTCCTGGATGGGTGGGATCCTAGGCTATTATTCTCTGAATTCCATCATCAAATGACTGCCCTTTCCAGCAAAGTAACTCAGGAGGTACAGCCAGTGCTACCAATAAAGGGTGACAGGAGCACGAAGCCAGATGAAACTGCCAATGGGAACAGAAATCCTTTGCTTTAGCACAGGGACAGGTGAAGGTAGATGAAGTCCTACTAGGATCAGGGAGATATAGTATGGAGGGTGTGGGGTCAGAAGGAAGAGAGACCTTACCTATGACCAAATTCTGGCAATGGGAAGAGGGTATAACAGGTGCCATCTGTAGCCAGTAGGGATGGATTTAATAGTTGACAGGAGACAAAAGAACCTGGGCTGCAATAATTACTGCTGATATTTCTAGTTCTTAAAAACACTATTGTGTTTGTACTTGACCCTAGTTCTACTGTGTCCAGTATCTGCCTTTTAAATTTTTTTTTTAGTGTCTTCTGACATTTTCAAAGAAAATGCAGATCCTTAAAGGAATGAGCATGGGTCTAGGTCTGTGTCTTAGGGCAGTACTGAAGTCCAGAGCCATAGCAGGAACTCAGACCTCCATTCTGGGTGCCCGGTGTAGAGTCTTCCCAGGCCCAGGCTTTCATGGAAGAATGAGGGCAGAGGCAGAAGCAGTTGAGGGAAGGCTTCCACTTGGCTGCAGAGGAATTAAGGAATATCTGACCCTCTTCTGGGATTCATTCGCAAGCTCTCCTTTCTCCCCTGCGGCTTCTGCTGCAGCTTTTTCTATTGTGTGAGACCCTTCCTTTTTTCAGGCAGATCATCCAGGTTATGGGAAGTGTAGAGCAGATTTGATTGCTATTCTACTAAACAGTGGACAGAAAGAGATAACCCTTAATCATCCACAGAAAAGATACAAGAGCAAAAGCAAGAGACAGGAAGATTAAAACAAAAAATCCTGCCAAAAAGCTGAGCTAGAGAAAGACAAAGGGATGATGAGATTGACATACATAGATTGAGGGACAGATAGAAAGAGAAGGATTCATTGCATAGAAGAGACAGAGGCGAAGAGAGATGGAGGGCGAGATAGAGAATCTTTGGCAGAAACATCGAGAAAGACTGTCATATATGCTGACAGGAACGAAAACCATAGAATTGGTAAAATGTCATAAACAAAGAGGACAAGAAAAATAGAAATAAAGGATGACAGGAAGGGACCCCAAGGGTGGAAGGCACAGACAGTCTAGACAGTGAAATAGAGTGAATGACAAGGAGGAACAACTGGACTCAGGAGAGATGGAGGTGATAGTGGCAGGTAGAGAGATTAGCAGAGCGAGAGAAGAAAGGTGGAAATAGAGAGGAGGGGGGATTAGTCAGGGAAGCTGAGAAGCAGAAGAGCAGAAGGCGGAGGAGGCAGTCAATGGAAAGATTCATTGACAGAAAAAGAAAGCAGGAAATATGTTGAGTTGGAGACAGGCAGAAAGACAAAGGACAAACTGCTACAGTGCAAAACACAAAGACAGAAACTGACAGGAACTGATAGGCAGAGACTGGCAGGAAGATGAAGAAAAGTCAGAATCAGGGATATAACTGAGATAGAAGAACAGGCAGAGGGACTGGGGAGAACCACAGAGAGAAAAAACGGGGGGGGGGGGGGGGGGTTGGAACAATGAAATAGACATCCAAAGGAAGGAACAATGGAAAGGAGGGAACACAGAGATGAAGAGAGAAAGAAGGAAGTAATAGGGGGCCTGCCTGCCGTGTGGCCTAGTGGTTGAGTTTGGCAGCCCGGGGTTCACAGGTTCAGATCCCAGGCCAGGCCTACACCACTCATCAGCCATGCTGTAGTGGCGACCCACATACAAAATAGAGGAGGATTGGCACAAATGTTAGCTCAGGGCTAATCTTCCTCAAGCAAAAAAAAAAAAAAAGTAATAAAGATAGGGAAAAAGAGAGAGAGAGGGATGTGAGAGATCTCCATCATAGAGTCATTAAAACCAAGGTGCAAAGAGGAAAAATAACAATTAGAGACAGGAGAAACTGAGAAAATTGAAAGTAAACACAGGCAGAAAATAAGAGCAGAGGGTTTAAATGTAATCAGACTAAAACCAGAGAGGCAAAGGTATAGAAATTGAGATGGAGAAACAAAGTAGAACTCTGTCAGAGTTTGTCCTTAACAGAGTGGTATCTTCAAACTCAATTTTTCTTTTTTTTTTTTTTTTTAAAGATTTTATTTATTCAGTTTTTTCCCCCCAAAGCCCCAGTAGATAGTTGTATGTCATAGGTTCACATCCTTCTAGTTGCTGTACGTGGGACTCGGCCTCACGTTGGACGGAGAAGTGGTGCCTTGGGGCGCTCCCGGGATCCGAACCCGGGCCGCCAGCATCAGAGCGCGCACACTTAACCGCTAAGCCACGGAGCCGGCCCATCAATTTTTCTTAACTGAATACCTTGATTGACAAAAACATCGTCTTGAGTTTTCAAAGAAAAAGAAATGTGACAAGCCCATTGGAGGAATCTGTTCCCTAAGCGTGTGTTGAGGTTATTATTGATTCATTCCAAGCCCTACACCTTTTCTTTTGCCACAGTCACAAATTCATGGTCCAGGTGAGTCTTCCTCTTAGTAATACTTGATAGTATCTATGAGAGGTGCCCAAGAACTTGATTAGGGAACTATGGCTGTTTCTGTGGGTTAACTAGGAAAACCCATACAGGAAGGGTAAGATTAGCTACTGGCATGGGTAGGGCATAAGTGGACACCTGAAGAGTTTGGGATCACACACAAATTTCCGTCATAGTGACCCAGTGAAACTTCAGGAGGGCAGGACTGGACTGTGATGATAATTGAGTAAGTGGATATATCATCAACTGGACCAGTTATAGATGGTGTGGAACAGATATAGATGATGGGAATCCAGGAGACATGGTCAACTGGGACCCTAGAAAAGAGATGCTCAAAAATACAGAGGCTGGCAGGTGCTACATTTGGTAGGAGTTGGGTCACCACAGTGGTGCCACGTCAGACATCAACATAGCCAGGTGAAGTGGTCCTCAAGACTGACTCTATGCCTACTGAGCTACTGGCTGATGAATTATGTGTCTTCTGGCACAGGGGAGGAGCTTTCCTGAGTCAGGGATATTGATATTTTATGGTCTCAGAACACTTCCCTGATCAAAAATTAATAAATTGCCATGTAAATAATTGCATCCGTCTTTTGTGAGTGTGGTTACTTTGAGTCACTTTTCTTGGCGCCAGTGGTGTCCTGGTTCATAATGCAATGCTGGATTCTGGAAGCTTTGCTTTGGGAAGGTTTCCTCTTGGCACTAACTTTTTAACCTACAAATCCCTAAAGTGTTCTAAGATCCTCTACTGTCAAAAAGCAAACCCAATTTATTCAGTAGAATAGACTTAGAGCAAGAGAATGGATTCAGCCAAAGGTGGAAACCAAAAGAATCTTTTAGCCAAATTAATCTTGAGTTAACAAGAAAATCAATTAAACAGAAATCTCCATGACTGAGTTGTCAGGGCTTTACCTTATATAAAATCTGGATTTGTCGGGCTGAAAATTAGAAGCCTTCACTCTGCAAGAGATTACGTTAAGGGAAGTTATTCTTTAATGAGAAGCTCTTTTTTTTTTTTTATAATTTTATTTATTTATTTTTTTCCCCCAAAGCCCCAGTAGATAGTTGTATGTCATCGCTGCACATCCTTCTAGTTACTGCATGTGGGACACGGCCTCAGCATGGCTGGAGAAGCAGTGTGTCGGTGCGCGCCCAGGATCCGAACCCGGGCCGCCAGCAGCAGAGCGCACGCACTTAACCGCTAAGCCACGGGGCCAGCCCCAATGAGAAGCTCTTGTATTGAAATGAAATGTACGTTTAGAATCATAAACTTAAAAGTCGTAGCATACCAGGCCGGACATTTGTTGTGCTCCTACCACGGCAGTTACCTTTTATACCTTATCCCATTTAATCCCACACAGCAGAGACTCATCCCATTTTTTAGATTGAGAAAACTGAGGTAATTTACTCAGGGTTACCTACCTAGCTAGTGACAAGGCCTGGACTCAAACCCACATATATTTTTTTCTATTATACCACCTGTGGCCAGCATCTGCTATTTTTGCCTGCCTAGCAGTGTAGGGATTTTTCTTTGAAAACCACACCTCTCTCATTCCCCTTCAACGAGCATGAGACCCAGGTCTAGCCAATCAGAACACCAAATCCTCTTTCCCTGAAATGAGCTCATGACATAAGCAGAACCTAGGAACCTTAGCATCTTGACTTCTGCTAGAACTTTTGGCTAAGATGTACTATGTGTGCTAATATTGCTAAGCCAGCAGAATGTAAGAGAGCTTCCCTGAGCATGAAGCCAACACAGAAAAAGAGGACTCAAAAGATGGAGAGAGGGGGGCTGGCCTGGTGGCATAGTGGTTAAGCTCCCACGCTTTGCTTCTGGCAGCCCGGGGTTTGCAGGTTCAGATCCTGGGCACAGATCTATGCACCACTTATCAAGCCACGCTGTGGCTGGCATCCCACATAAAGTAGAAGAAGATGGGCATGGATGTTAGCCCAGGGCCAATTTTCCTCAGCAAAAAAAAAAGAGAAGGATTGGCAACAGGTGTTAGCTCAGGGCTAATCTTCCTCATACACATACACAAAAAGATGGAGAGAGATGTCTAGCATCATTCATATAGCTGGATCAAGCTCTGCCTGAAACTAGAACTACCCCTGGACCATTCAGTTACATGAGCCAAAAAACTCCAGGATTCACTCAAGTGAGTATGAGTTGAGTTTTTTCACTTGAACAATGTCTTTATTAATACGTCACCTTCAAGATTATCCAGTCTTATCATTTCGTTTCGCAGAAAATTGAAGCCTAGAGAAGTTCAGTGACTTATCCAAGCACACCCAGCTAGTTTGTGGCATGGTCAGAATTCGAATCCAGGTCTTTGATTTGGTTCTTATACACTATTTTGCCTCTTTCTTTACAGAATGGCTGAGGAGTGGAGACACTTCAAGGTAGAAAGACAGGAACCAGTTGACAACTGAAGATCAGTCAAATCAGATAACTGCTTCTGAAGTATTTTTAAGTCAGGATGCTTCTG